TGAGCCCAGTGATCGGAAGTGAAGTAGTTTAGCGTGTTATTCTCTTTACTTATCTCGGGAGTCTAATCAGTGCTGCTGGCCTGATGCGTGACGTAATCTCGGCACGAATACAGAAGGTTCGAGGGTTTTTGAAAACTTGCACCACATGGCGTAGACGAAATATCCGTCTACTAACCAAAGGACAAACGTACTGTGCAGTAGTTCGCTCTATCCTATTCTATCGGTGTGAAACATAACCAGTCAAAGTGAAAGATATTCGTAGGTTGCTAGTTTTCGATCATAGGTGTCTCCAAAGCATTGCTTGTTTATTTTGGGACAACTGAGTAGGCACTACTGTCGTTAAGAAACGAGCACCAGGCAAGGATAGCAGACCAATAGATGAAGTAGTGAGACTTCATCAGTTGAGGTGGTTGGGACATGTGTTACGTATGCCCAACCACTGACTGCCTCGGTGAGCGATGTTTTATGGTGTTGAAGAAAGCTAGGGGTGGCCAAACTAAAACGTGACACAAATCCATGAGGTCACTGACAAGTGAACTGAGCAAGTTTGTTAGCTATAGACTACCTGAGATGATGGAGAAAATTTTTAGCCCTGGTGGATGATTGTGGTGGAGTTTCGTCTTCTGAGCTGGGTATTTAGACTACCTGGTTGGGGTCCGCCAGACAGTAGTAACCGATGGTTAAAGACCTTGAATGGCGCTGGTGCATTCACTCTGTGTGTCTTCCCAAATTCTAATCTGAATTCCTCATGACCTTCATCTTTCTCTTCTCAAATTTATCTTGCAATTCATACCCCTGAAACAGCATTTTCAAACCGTAATCTCCCCGATTACTGCTTATGTAACTACCACCTCTACCACTATGGGATTCGAATTGACGATTACACCTCTGTGCTAATGTGGCATGGCAACTCAAACTGACGTCGGTACGTACGAAGTTCTACGTTGTCGCTGACTGATGAGCTGAACCTTCATTCATTGCCCACAGTGGATAACTGTCTCTTACCCGAGATCGATTTCAACTATGAAAATACAATCTCCACTTCATTAATAACAATCCCAGGCACACTAGTGATTAGCTCCATAATATATTCTTGGAGTTCTAGTGAGAAATCGTGACCAATGTCGTTCAATTTATGTCTAGTAGGAGACAGTTATCTTCTATAGGCAATCCATGAAAGTTGCACTTTATCGAAGTTAGACATTGACATCTTTGGATCCCGACTTAGTGGTCTAGGGGGCTGTGTTCTCATATGAAACTGAAGGTCTTGGATCCGATTCTCATGTGTGGAGTCACGGATGTGCCACTGCTGAGGAGTCATGTAGTAAGATGAAATGGCCGTCTTGGGCTTTCAGGTTTCTAATGATGGTGTAGCTAAGGTGATTTCTCGCTTTGAACTATGATAATTTAGTTGTGTTTATAGTGTTTTCAAAAAATCCAACAGTTGTAATTCACTATTCTGAAAAATATTTCATCCAATTCTTTATTAATAATCGTTTTGCCAAAAATAATCTTTTACTAAATTCTATTTACTTAAAATAATATTTCATTTATTCACTTAATCCGTGTACACTTGTAACTCGTCAGCTACTGCTTTATTTTTATTTTTTAAAGTTCAAACGAATTGTAGAATTTTTTTTCTACAGGATGCATATTTTTTTAAATGCAATTGTTATTTATTCTGGTTACTATGGTGTGTTTTTTTGTTGTTGTTTTCTACGCCTATTTATATTTATGTTATGACTGAGAAAATTTATAATCTGGTTGCATTGAAAGAAACTATATAGAACAATAAAGATTTTACTCAACTTTCAATATTATTCGGTTAATTTATACGCATATTTATTAATCATTGAATGAATGGTTTGATAACAATTGAGCATTGAGTGCATACTAGACATTATTATTGGTGAAAACTATATTTGAAAGCATCTCAGCGATTAATTAACTAGCCTGAAGAAGTTTGGACAAGATAACTGGACGAAGTGTTGCAATTATCTAAAGTTTCAATCGATGAGATTATTTTAAATATAATTTTCACAAAGAATTCGGTTAAATTCTAAAACTTCTAATCACTCCTACTATACGAATGCGAAACATGGTCGGTGAGAGTAGAGGACACCAGTAGATTGTTTGCCTTTGATCATAGGTGTCTCCGAAGCATTGCTCGTATATCCTGGGACAACCGAGTAAGCAATGATATAGTTAGGAAGCGAGTGTTAGGTAAGGATGGCAAATCAACAGATGAAGTAGTGAAACTTTATTAGTTAAGGTGGTTGGGACATGTGTTACGAATGCCTAACCACCGACTGCCACGTCGATCTATGTTTTGTGGTGTAGGAGTAGGTTGGAAGAAACTTAGGGGCGGCCAAACCAAATCATGACACCAATCCATGCAGTCACTGATAAGTGAACTGAGTCATTTTGGTAGATGTAGGCTACCTGGTTGGGGTCCGCGAGACGAAAGTAATCAATGGTTATAGACCTTAAACGACATGACTCAAAATCGTTTGCAATCGCGCAGGTGCATCCACTCTTTGTGTTCTCTCAAATTTTAACCTTCTGAATTCTAAATCGTCTCTATATTTCTATTTCTAACTTTATCTCACTGAATTATACTCCCCGAATCATATCTTTGCTACCTAATCTTCTCCATTACTGCTAATACTTCTTTATCGCTTCCACTATTGAATTTGAACTGACAGTTGCGTCTGTGTGCTAATGTGGTTTGGCAACCCGAACTGATGTACCTACGTACGCAGTTCTGTGTTGTATCTGTCTCTGTGTCTGACTTCTACTCACCAGACTGTACACAAAGAAATTTTCCGAAGAGTTAATAATAATTTAGAAAAAAATGGGTCTTCATTGTAACGGTTATTTGCAAAAACATAGTAATAAATAAAAGAATTCAGTAGCGAAAGTAAAATATTCAGCCGTCTACAATGATGATGAGATTTGTAAGTTATATTCGTTACAGATCGTTCTCATTTAAAGTACACTTAAAAAATAAGAAATTGATGAACGATTCTCTCATATCAGTATGAGAACTCCTCAATAGTACACAACTACGATGCTACTAGTTCTTACATCTAACGCTTGACCTTCAAAACTATTAGGTCGGTGGCATCCAGTGTTATTGTTTCAACTTCCATTTTTTTACAATATAGCCTAATAATCATCAAACGGCATTGGAGATAACCATTTTACTCTTGATATATCTGAGTTTCAACTGTGATAACTAGTCCCTCTAACTTCGAAAACAGCTTGAAGTAAACTACTTGTGATTTATAATCATTGAAATGATAAACCTTTGATTATGAGTTACATTAGATAGAAGGTTAACTTCTTCTCTTTCGTTCACGCGTATGTATCAAGACAAGTCCGTGAAGAAAGAACTGAGATTGATTATTACTCTGAATGTCAACTATAGTTAATTTGTGACATCAGTCAATCAATAACTAAAGTAATGATTAAATATTAATTCCGGTTATAATTCCCCATTAAAACTCAGTGAAATTTATTTTATTTCTATTGATCAATGACCCCTTTTTCGTGGATTATTCTCTCTGATGGTGGCTTTTATCACAAACTTAGGCTCTGCCTTAACAGCTTCCCAAAACTCGCAAGATATTCAACTACTCTAAGTTTTGGAGAGAACTATTTCCGGACTTAACAATTCTCTAAAACATAATGTAACTTTCTATAGACAGTTTATTCCATTTAACCTGATACTGAGGTTGTTTAAATGCCTATAAATTTCTTAAGTTGTTATTAGAAATTACCTGTGTTACTCCATGAAGTTGAATTAGAGGAGTGTTCGACCGGCATGATAGAAGTAATAGTTTAACGATGACCAGAATAGGATATTTTCAAGTTTAGTATTAACTACTTAATTCGAATTAAGTAGTATATATCTCTAAACTTAAGTGTTTAATTTTTGAGACAACTAATGACTACATATGATCAATCTCATCGTATATATCATACACATCTTAGATATAGAACATAGATTTTTGATATTAATTTTCAGACGAAAATTCGTCATTTTCCAGGCATACATACGTTGTTAGCAGCTTGATGTTGACTTATTTTATTGGATGACGTAACCGTTACAAGGAGAGGTGGTATCTGTAATTTTGTCGGCTTGGTAAATGCCAACGTAAATTGAGGATAGACTTTGTTGCTAATCAAGTAGAAGTCACCAGCTTAAGTTTCGGAATCATAGATATAAGAGTTGAAATCCTATTTTCTTGATCAAATGTTCTTTGAATGTTGTCTATTGGTTGGTTGCTTTCTTCCTGGACTAGCCTCATATAAGATACCATTATTAATCTCGAAGCATCTGACATTCGTTTCCTTCTAGAATTGTACACTCAATATCCCGCAATGAATCGAATTCTTAACCTTTATGAATCATACCGAGCGTCTAAACTTTGGGCTTTTTCAATAACCTACAGTGGTCCACATTTTGAATTTCAAAAAAATTCGCGAGATGATGCAATAGTCATTTAACGTTTCTGGTAACGGCTGTATCATCTCTTGTATGCTATAACACCCGATCCTTAGATTCCTACAACATTTAGTTTTGAAACAGAAAGAAAACTTTCGTTCCAAGAGAATTCAAGTATAATGTATATACGTTACTATTTGCTAGAACTATTATTCCGTGCTAAGTTTCGTTTTATTTACTGACTATTTTTGAGCGTCTACTATGTGGGGAAAATACAATCTCTCAAACGATTTTCAATACTTTAACAGTTCATTATTTAAATTTAATGTCACAAATGGTATGATGTATTGATTAGGAATTGAGCATTATGAATCTGTAAATAAAAGGGTTTTATCAGGGTGGTGAGAGATCTTTCTTAACTTTTGGCGTCAACCCCGATTATATATTTATTTGCCCCAAGTATTTGATATTTTAAATGCATCATGATTTACTCTTTTCTATATGTAGGTAATTTTAATCTCTTTCTTTACCTTTCATTACATTTGTTTAGTCATGTAATCGTTCTCATCCAGAAATTCCGAAGAAAACCAACAAACCAATAATACCAAATATTCCTCAACGTCCTTTTATGAAATTAATGCAAAAGCATGTTGTACCTCCTGATACCAGAAATCCAAGATGGGTAAGATAAACTGTTTAATTGAAATTAAGTAGTATAAATATTTATATAGCACTTTTCTCTTTATCATTTGTCTGAAAAACGTAAAAACGTATTCAAACTATTGTCAAACTATATCACAGAAGTAGATTGAAATATTGATATCAACGAAGACAACCTCCAAGTATATCCCTAATTTTCTAATCATTATTTTCTTTCTTTCATGGTTTCGAGACTGTTCAGTTAATATAATTAATTTGGCGCGTCAAACAATAGTGTAATCCAGTCCTCTCAACCTTAATGCTACATTGTCTTTTACAGTTTAGAAACTAATCTTATGTATTCTACGTATAGATAAACCTTGAACATTTGTTGGTTCAATAATAAGACATTTTCTTCTTCACTTCCCAATGATTTCGATAGTTGATCTCTCATCTTAATCCCCTACACTTTGTCTATCTATGTAGGATATTATTTTTCCCAGTGATCTTTTTAACAAGAGATCACATTTTATAATTTTTCGACTCAATATCGAGTAAAATAAGTTAAATAACAATCCAGTATTGGTTATTGTATATTGAAAAGTGATCGGAATGATAATCTATTAATCCTTTGAATGCGGACTCCCTGGCGCTAGATGAATGAATTTAATATTGTGTATTTGGTTTTCACTCTTTTTTATTTAGAGCAAGTTTATTGCTGTATGTTTTCAATTATTTTCCAATTTAGTCGACTTAAAATTGTCATCTAACTGTAAATATCATAAACTCTAATCATTTCTCAATTTTGATTAACATACCACACTTCGGTTGCCCACTATCTTCAGTCATTCTGAATGGCAAATAGATGTAAGTCCTCCGAGTCTCTATTAAGTTGAAAAAGCTATAGAAAATCTTAAGCGAGGGAGAGCATCAGGGCCTATAAGGCTTACCTCTGAGAGCTATAAGGATTATGGCCCAGTTTTAATAGTTAGATTGACTAAGATCTTGGGTAGAATCTGGGAACTAGGCGTAATCCCATCTGACTGGTCTCAATTACTGATTGTCCCGATCTACAAAAAGAGGTTGAAGTCCTCTTGTGCTGATCACAGATGAATCAGTTTAACTAATTTAGTATCTAAAATATTAGCCTCACTAATATTCGGACGCCCAACTAGAGCTCGCGAAGAGCAGACTCGAGGAAACCAGTCTGGTTTTTGACCTACAAGTGGATGCATAAGCCAGATAATTACATCACATCGGGTCCTAGAACAAAGAAACACGTTCCGACGCCATACCATAGTAGTATTTCTCTAACTTAAAGCTGCATTCGACTCTGTCAATCGCGAGGTTGTGTGGCAGAGTCTGTCATTAAACAGTGTACGAGAGAAGTACATTGACGTCTTAAAATCTCTCTACCCAAACACCACAGGTCGAGCTAGAGCTTATAGCGAACTGTTATCGAAATTCTTTACTTCAAGTGGTGTCCGTCAGGACTGTCCTGTCCACTTCTTCCATTCTTGTTTAACCTTTTCGTAGACATGCTTTTAGGGTTAACATTATCTCCGTCTGACTTTTCAGAGGTGGACCTTTTACCATGATACAGACTTGTTGACTTAGAATATGCAGGTGACGTAGTTCTATTTGGGGAAGACGCTAACAAAATGAGAAGTCTTCTGACTAGCCCAAGCAACAATGCAAGTATTTTCGGGATGCAACTTTCCCCCTCGAAATGCAAAATTTTGCTCCAAGATTGGCTTGCGTAGGCACCTGAACTAGTGATAGGTAGTCAAGTTGTTGAGCGTGTTCTTCGCTTCACTTATCTCGGGAGCCTCATCAGTCATCATCAACCGTCCTACTTTATGGCTCTGAAACATGGCCAGTCAGAGTAGAAAATATTCGTAGGTTGCTTGTTTTCGATCATAGGTTTCTCTGAAGCATTGCTCTCATATTATGGGACAACCAAGTAAGCAATGCTCTTATGAGGAAACGGGTGCTAGGTAAGGATGGCAGATCAATTGATGAAGTTGTGAAACTTCATTAGTTGAGGTGGTTGGGACATGTTTTACGTATGCCTACCCGCCGACTACCTCGACGAGCAATGTTCTCTGGTGTAGGAGTAGGTTGGGAGAAAGCTAGGGTCGGTCAAACCAAAGTATAGCACAAATCCATAAAGTCACTAACAAATGAACTGAGTCATTTTGGTAGATGCAGACGTCCTGGATGAGGTCCACGAGGCGATAGTACTCGATGGTTAGAGACCTTGAACAACATGGTCAAAAGTCGTTTGCAATGGCGCATGTGCATCAACACTTTGTGCCCTCTCAAATTTTAATCTTCTGAATTCCTCATCACTTTTATCTTTCTCTTTCTAAAGTTGTCTCATTGAATTATACTTTTTTAATAATATCTTCGTACCGTGATTAATAGTTATAGAAATCAATTTATTTAAATTAAATGAAAGAGAGAAATAATTTGTTCCAACTTTTTAGGCACATAAGTTATTCACAACCTCACAAGCCTACTTACAGTATATCTACATGTATACTATGAAACTAAATATATTTAACCAGATAGAAGAATGTAACTTTTGAGATGAACATGAAAATATGCTTTAAGCTTTCTCAATTTTTCCTATCAAATCATTGTAATATATCAGACTTTTTGTAATAGTAGTGTAGTGAACGAGAACACAGGTGAGGGCAACCGAATTGTATTTAACGAAAATTACAGAGTTACTCAATAAAATCGGAAAACCATATCGTAAATCGTTAATTTGCAAAATATCAGTTCATCATATCGAACTGGACTATTCCTGTTGCAAAACATCAATCGATTGTCACTATTCATGCGTTTCATACAAATTCCATTGTGTTCTTCTAACTCTTCCTTTCTTGATCTTCCCCCATCTTCTGCTGCCGGACATTACGTTGACACTCACGTCATATACTACTTATAAGTAGCTCGCACCACAGTAGTACAGTCTTTGTTTTTCATCTTGTTTATTTATATTTATTGATTGATTTACTTACTCTGAAGAAAAAGTGATTCGCATAAAATCACGAAACGTCAGAGATGCAAATTTCTGCCCATTGTGGTATCATCAAAAATTATAATTATTTTATTATTATTATTATTATTAACTTCGTTTTTTGGTTCTTTTTTAAACTATTTTATAGCTTTCGTTTAAATGTTTCTTGATTTCTTTTCAAACTGTTTGTGAATCTTAGTCATAATGAAGTTTTTATTTTACTTCTGTTTGTTATTCTTGTGCGTTGTTCTGTACTCGTAAATTGAAGCCTAATTATCCTTCACATTTCAAATTAATTACATTTCTACATAACTAATGAGTTTCATATGCACAGATTCTTTCATAAAAACTGTTGGAGACATTAGATCGCCAGAACTCACTTGATAAAGGTCCTAATTTTGGATTTTTTGTGTTTTCGCTCATGAGCTGCTCAGTTGACCTTGAGATTGCATTTCTCACTCAGAAAATCCTTGACTGTCATTGGTTGATGTTTTATTTTAGTATGCTATTTTTGTGGCTCTCCCAAGGACGTATCTATCATGTATAAATAAACTCGATTGTGTGTGCTTGTGAACTTCATCTTTTCTGGGTGCTTGTAGAATACACTTTCTACGCCATATCAAGACTTCTTGATATAATTAGCTGGGCAGGAGACAACGGATTAGAATAGCCTATCGTGTCACTGGATCATTTGTCTCCGCTCGCGTTTACGGACTAAGTTGAACGGGTAATAGTTTCAAACATATCAATCGATGAGCATATCACAAACATAATGTGTAGTCAACACAGTTTGAGTGAACGGTCGCGAGTTCAAGTCTCGATGCGAACATCAACCTTGGGATGTAGGCACATCTAGTCTGTGAGTTCCAAATAAGAGTGTTCCTAGATTCTGTTGCAAGCTATTCTCTAACTTTGATGACTTAGTGACAACATCGAGGCAATCTTCTTAGACTTTGCATGTACCAAAAGAGATTAATCAATTGCACAGTCCTTAATATCTACAATCATAGAATTCAAACAACTCTTAGGCAATAAATTTATCATTGATTGTCTTTAAAAAAATGGTTGAATTGAATACTACTACTAGTAGCTTGTGAAATGGTTCCAACCAAATGGATAAAATCAATGTCGTAGACAAGAAAAAAACCGTAATAAATTCTTTGAAGAATTGTTAAAGTATCAGGGATAAGTTATCACTCCCTTATTTGTCGTTTTTTTTTCTGTTTAATCGTTAAGATATCACGTAGTCGACTAGTTGAGACATTTTAAAACACGAATTCTTTACTTACTCTGCTCATCTGTCTTACTTGTTCTCTCTCTCTCGCTCTCTACATTTCGTGCATTGTTCATTCAAACTTTTCAGTAGAAATTCTCTGGAAAAATTTTCCCCTTACATTTCAATATCCATATATATGTATGTCTCCTTTTTTTTGTGAAAATAAAAAGAACATTTGTATTCTTTCTACATTTTATACTCTTAAACTAAGTACAACATTTTGTAATTGTTGATATCTTCATGAATATCAACCTCATATTCAATATTACTTTTATCGTGTTGCTTACAAGTATTTTTTTTCTCTACAATATTCATTTTTCATTCGATTAGTTCGTTCGTTCGTTTGTTCCTTCGTTTGTGTTTTATGTATGAATGTATCGAATCAAACTGGTTGAGGTTCAGATTCATTCAGGTTCTGTTTTTTTGTTAGTCGTATTTATTTAAAATCAATCAGAGATTCTGTATTATATTTCACTAATCTATAATTGAAAAAAAGCATGGTTTAAATGTTTGTTTGTTTTTTAAGGCATTATGTGAAAGACACGAAACAAAAATACACGATTAAGACAGATTGTAAATATGTCAATCATATTGAATAATGCCTTTTTCTGTTTGTTTGTTTTGAATTAAGAAGTTGATTCACTGAGAGTAGTAGTTACATTGAGATGATTATTAGTTTTAATGCAATTTTGAACAATTTCAATCGAATCAAATTGATCATTGTTGAGCTTACAGTGAATTTTTTTTCCACATGCAACACTAAGAAATATGATGTACATTTAGTGAAATGAAAATATGATGTACAATTAGTAGAGAGGAAAGAAAACAGTTTTATTTTAAATTATTTTTTTTTAAAAAAAAATGCGTTTTCTGTAAGAACAAGACCAATATAGACCTCCTTTTAATCTGTTTGACCGTACACCCTATTTTACTTATGAGTATTATATGAGTAAACTTTAACAGAATTCTACATCGATTGTATTTCCAAGTATATGGGCTTGTTGTTTAAGGGTAGTTGAGTGCACAATAGTTAGTGCCTCAACAAGAGTTTGTTTGGAAACAACGAATAATATATTTAACACAAGTATCGTTCATTATATCAGGAATCGATAACCTCTCCTATTTCACTCTCAATACTGTTGAAACATGTTTTAAAAATTATCCAAGTTATCAGAATTGTTGTTTTCAAATTCTAACATGTATCAACTCATCATCATCTTCACCTACTTCAACACACACACACACACACTACTTGACCTAGGGATCGTCTACATGCTGTTTCCAACAATACAAATATTTTTGAAACCATGAATCGATCAATGTTAGACCACCATTAGAAACCTGGAAGCATTGGATGGCCGTTTCGTCCTGGTATGAGGTTGCGCAACTCCGTGAATTTGATCTAGTTAGACATTAACACCGTCGGATACCGGCTCAGTGGTCTAACGGTTGGAGCGTTCGCGCACAATACCGAAGGCCCTGGGTTCGAATCCTGCGGGGTGCAGGAGTCGTGGATGCGCACTGCCACTGATGAGTCCCATACCAGGACGAAACGGCCGTCCAGTGCTTTCAGGTTTCTAATGGTGGTTTAACATTGATCGATTCATGGTTTCAAAAATGTGTAACTTAACAATCTTCACAACCTCGTAATGCAAATACAAATATTACTATTATCTTTATTTTTATAGTTGACCTTTGAACATACCACCTTGATATATAAATATTGTAACTTTGGTAAACTCAACTCTGTCGTTCAAGTTAATTAAAACATTAAGAAATTTTTATATCACATAGATGTGATGTTTTGATTTGTATTTTTTTCTCCACTCATTATTTCTTATTTTACTTTTTTTTTAAAAAAATTCTTTTCTATATTCCTCCTTTTGGATGATCCATGCAAAATTATTCCATCTCTAAAATCAGAGAATACTTAGACGAAAAGAAAAATATGAACAACGTATTGAAGAGGTAAGATCATATTAATTTAGTGCTCTTTTTATCGATTGATTATTATTATTATTATTATTGAACTTGAAGAACTTTTGTCTTTCAGTCAGTCAGTCACACCGTAGATCTTCGTATGTACACACATCACTTCAGGTTGCCATACTGCATTAGCACAGAGATGCAATTGTCAATTCAAATCCCATATTAGTAGAGGTAGTCGAAGTATTAATAGTAATCGGAGAGATTAGAGTTCGAAGATAATATTCAAGAAGCAGAATCTATTGAAATAAATTTAGGAAGAGAAAGATAGAGGTGATGAGGAGTTAAGCACATTAGGATTTGAGGGAACACGATGAGTGGATGCACCTGCGCCATCACAAACGGTTTTAAAACATGTCATTGAAGATCTTTAACCATCGATTACTATCATCTCGCGAACTGCAACCACGTAGTTTACATCTACCAACATGACTCAGTTCAGCTGTCTGTGACTTCATGGATTTGTGCCATGTTTTGAATTGGCCTCCCCTAACTTTCTTCTAACCTACTCCTACATCACAAAACATAGCTCGACGAGGCAGTCGGTAGTTAGGCATACGTACCACATGTCCTAACCACCTCAATTGATGAAATTTCAATACTTCATCTATTGATCAGCTATCCTTACCTAGTACCCGGTTCCAAACAACAGCACTGCTTATCGGATTGTGCCGGGATATATGAGACATTTCTTTAAGACACCTATGTTCAAAAATAAGCAACCTACGAATATCTCCTACTCTTACCTGCCATTTTTCACAGCAGTAAAGTAGGACAGGGCGCACTACTACGCAGTAAACTCGTCCTTTAGTCTTTTATCACACTACAACACATTGGTGAGAAAATCAAATGATTTGTTGTGTGTGTTTTATTCTTGTTCCGTGTTTTTGTGAACATTGTCATATAATTAAATTAAACCTGACATAACACATTCTAATCAATTTTTTGTACATTATATTGAATGTTTGTCAGATTATAGTACTTTACTATCGATTTCCACACTATCAATTATCCTACATGCTATTAGTGAGATTAATCAACAAATCTGATATATTTTCCTGTTATTTAAGATATTCAAACTTTGTTCAGAATGAAACTAATAAATACTTGCTGTTTTGATTAGATGGTTAATGGAAATTTATTTCTAGTACAAAGTAGTTTTCTCAGTTGACCTTCAACTAGAGAATTACTGAAAAAAAAATAAAGGGATATTGAAGAGTTATTCGTATACATGTTTAGGATGTGATAAAGATAACCAATATATCCCAAATCACTCCATAAATCATTATAACCTTTTTGACCAGTTTTTTTTTTCAAAATGGATTTGTAGAGGTTCTAGCTATAACCAGTGCTATGTAGGGCGTTGTTATGACGTATGAATGAGGTTTTAAAGTGATCGAGAAACTTAAAGGTCCTCAGTCAAAATGTATATTGATATTAAGTCTTCAGTCGTCTCAAATTTTCACTAATTCTGTTAATCGTAGTTTATGATGAAGTGACCCACCTTATATAACGCTTAAAACTGAGTTTTGAAATCATAAATAAATTAAATATGAAATGTATTATTCTTAATAAAAGTGATGCTGATGATCTGAAAATTGTAAAGATAATACAACGACACTTTTTGTAATAACTGATCAAAATATGACAGAGTTAATGAATTACTGTTACTTTCCCAACTGACAATAGTTTACAGGGTTTTTTTTCAATATATATTGGCTGGCTAAAATGTGGCTAAAGCATGGCGTCTATTGAATGAACAGAATTTCACTATCTTGAATATAGAGGTAACTTAATGATTCAGGTGTTTGACTTTCAATTAGCTGGTTCTCATGAATGAATGTCGCTTCATCTATTTTAGCCTCAGGTAACTTAGTAGTATCGCTCTAGCCTTCACACATAAATTGTAGTTGAAATTAGAATTGATGGATATGCACTTCAAACTTACTCAATCACATCATATAATTATTTTACGTTTTAGAAGTTACTTACTCTGATGACTCTTGTTTATTAAACGCTGTGAAAAATGACTCCTGAAAGTAGAGGATATATGTATGTTATAAGTATTCGATCATAGGTGTCTTTTTCTACTGTTGCTCGTATATTTTGCGACCATCAAGTTAGAAGTCCTGGAGTTAGAAACAGAGTACTAGGCAAGTATGGCATATCACGATTTATGAGGCAGTGAATCATATTTAACTGAGATAGTTAGGTCATGTATTACGTATAACGTTTTACTGACTACGCTGATGCGTGATGATGTCTGGTGTAGAAGCAGGATGGAAGAAAGTTAGATTCAGTCTATAAATACACTGACTAAGCCATTTAGGTGGGTGCAGACTACCTGGTTGGGGTCCGCTTGCTTATCACAACCAATGTTTAGATATTTTAGGTAACATCACTCAAAATCATTTATAACGGTACGGATACACTCACTCTTTGTTCTCCCTTAAGTTTCTAAATGCTTTCCTAGTACCTATAATACTGTTAATACATCTACTACGTTGTGATTTCTCTCTGTGCTACTGAACTCTATTGGCAACTTCAACTGATGTACACATATGTCAAGTTCTACATCGCACTCATAAATCATCACTAACCCTCAAACCAAAGTGTTATATTGTCAGGATAACAATCATAAGTAAAATTAGATTAAATATACTGTTGAATAAATTCCAATTTTAATTAGATAGCTTTCCCCCCCCCCCGCCCCAAGTTAACTTTCACTTCTTATCTATGCAACTTAATTAGAATGTGTAAAATGTACATTCGTGTGTGTGTGCGTGTGTCTGTGTGATTGTGTTTCAGGTGTGTACTTTTTCTGTCTACATTTTCTCTAATTAAAATCTATTTCTTCTGTTAATTTTTTTCTGTTTTGCAGAAAAAGTAAATCTTTCATAGTAGTATTAGTAGTATATTAGTAGTAGTAGTATATTAGTAGTATAGAAAGAAGTTAATGCTATCATCATCTAATGAATGAATGAATTAATTTTTTTCTTCATATTAAGAATTAATTTAATTTAATTGAATAAGTCAATAAACAATTGACAAACTAAAAAGAAGTTGTAATTATTCATTTTCAATAATTAACTTTCTCTCTCTTATTCACACTAATAAACAATTAACTAAGTGAGAGGCTGGTAAAAGTATAAAATTAGATTCGTTTTTTTCCTTAATAAAAACATTAGAAATTTGTGAAAAATTGTAAGAATACATTTTAAAATGGAAGTTAAGATAAATGAATGTCAAATTTTTGGCATTTAACACAAAAGCCATTAAAAGACATTAATTTGTAAGCTTATAATGATTTATATGCTTACATTTTATTCGTTCGTGGTATAGTGCAACCTTTATGAAAGGTGATTGTTGAATTGCTTTTATGCTTTAGAGGTGGTGGACTCTAAATGTTACGTAGTCTACTATTAGAACTGATCAATCGAATACACATTATTATTTATTCAAGTCAAGGACTGTGAGAAAGACGAAGTAATGCATAAAGCAAGTAAACTGTCAAACTCATGCTTAGCGTAAACTAATTTGTCCAGTGCGCCAGTCGACTAGGTTTTGCCGTGACTGGGGGTTTGCAGGTAACGATATGGCTTACCATATAAATAATCACCGGTAGAATCGCCTCGGTTTCGTTACTTTGGGAGAATTTATCAATTGTAATATAAAATAAATGATCATGCGAAAAAAATACACCAGTGATTTGGTACACATTTGTTGGAGCGTTAAAACACTTGTACTTAATATTTGACGTACTATCGACCAACTGCAGCTCATGTGAATTGAATAGCAATTCATAGAGCTATAAGGAATCGATGCTAAGTACAGCTATGGAAACATCAGCAGAGATGAACGTCCACAGATACTGCCGTCGTTTATTCAGGTTGATCGTTAGCTATCGTGTACCATAGGTAGGACTGACTTAAGCCATTCGCAGCGCGTGGTTGAAACATTGTAGCTTGAGACTTGCTGCTACTAGACGATACGACAGAAACTTGGGCACCTGTGGCCACTAGGTGCCTAGCATGTTCGTTTGAAAATCGTGTACGTAAAATAAACGAGTAACTTGGTGTGACGGGAAGGAAGCAGGTGAAAATGCAATGATATGACCCTCGAAGTCTATTATATTATAGCTATCCACCATTTCAAAACGTTGTTGCAAGTATAAGGAAATTATTAATAGTATAGCAGCATGATAAAAAATGGTGATAGATAAATAATAGACTCACCGTAATTTGGACGTATTTGGACGAAACGTCAGCTCATCAATTTTAGTGGCGATCGAGTCGTGATTGACTATGATCACCACTACATATAAATTAGAGAGAAGATAAAATAATCCATATTAGGGAATATATTTGCTGGCGATTTCGTGGTGTCGAAATAATGCCGAAATCGTACAAGAACAGATGGGAGAAATTACAGAGATAGTGGAGCCGAAATGGCAGCAACATAAACAAAAAGTTTGCGCGTACAGAGTGTTATCAACAAAGAGGTTCAGTAAACCAATCACTGCTTTATGTATTCAAGCACTGAAATATATATTGTTTTTCATTTCATCTTATATTTGATATGATCAATCTCATAGTAAACTAACAAAAATATTGTCTCTCTAAAATATGGACAGATAGAAATCTACCAGCTGCCATAGTGTTTGAGCTTAAATTTCCCAGTTTCAAGTATCGTTTTTCATAAAATCGTTTGCACATATATTATACAGATAACTTAATTCATGTTTGTACAATTTGGAAATAGGTAACTGTAAATTGAGAAAAGATGGTCATTGAGAATCATCAAGACAATTATCAAATAGGCATTATATTCTTTTCTTAGGTGATTGCACTAACCTTATCTTGGTAGCATGTGGATTTCTCACTTATCTTCTCTTGATATTATAGAATTTTATAAATTAAATCGATTTTACGTTACAGTCTAGTGTTAAATATTAACTATATACACTCCATTCTTATGTAACGATTAATTGCAATTTTCGTTGGATTTGTTATTCTCGTCAATTGATATGCTTGAAACTATTACGAGTTCAGCTTAGTCGGTAAACGAAAGCAAAGACAAATGATTAAGTGACACGATAGGCTATTCTGATTCGATTGTCTCAGCCCTGCTATCTGTAACAAGAAGTCTTGATGAGGCGTAGAAAGTGTATTCTACCTACACCCAAAAAATACGAGGTCGACAAGCACACAAATCGAGTTTATTTTTACACCATAGAAACGTCGTTGGGAAAGCCGCAAAAATAGCATACTAAAATAATCCATCAACCAATGACAGTCCAGGACTTTCCGGGTGGTAAATGCAATCTCAAGGTCAACTGAGCAACTTATGCGCAAAAACACAAAATTATCCAAAATTAGGACCTTTATCCTGTGAGTTCTGGGGATCTAACGTCCCCAGCAGAATTTTTATCAATTCTTCTAAATATTTGGAGTATACTTTATACCAGTTATTTATCATAATTTAATAAGTATCATCTCCCTTTTCCCTGAATTTCAGGAGTTAATCAATATGCTTCAATCGGAAGACGAATCGCATTTCTATTTTTCTCCCGGTGGAGGTGATCTTACCAACTGGACACAGCGTAAAACACATCCATCTTATTGGAATGGTGTACCTGTAAATACGGATGATCTCTTAACCGACAATAATTCAAGTGAAGAACAGTCATATTATTCACCAAAACCAGATAAACCTATTTGGCATCAACCTGTTTGGAGACGGGCTGATGAAAAATTCTTCTGGAATTCTCATTTATTATCTCAACCAATTATTGAAGCAGATCGTATGCTTACAACATGTGGTTTCCCAGTTTATGGTTCTAATTTCAAATCATCGGAATCTGTAACTCAATTCAATAGTTTAATAACTGATTTAGAAGGTCTATTAATGCCTATTGTTCAAGGTTATGTACAAATGGAAGAATTCATCTTGGATCGACTTCAAGGTGGTCAGTTACGAGTGAATATTATGCCGAAAACAAAAGATTCCATTGAAAAATCCACTACAAATTTACCTTCCATAGCTGTAGAATATTCAAATAATCCTATTAATCCAATATCAAATGACACAGATCAAATTAATATCATTGATTTAAACAATCAATGCACAATGGAGGCTAGAATAGATGACAACAATAAAGCACCTCATTTAGAATCATCCATTTATCATAATACTGATAATAATAATAATAATAATAATAATAATAATAATGATAACAATGTTGATATCAGTGTTCAACAAGCTGTGGAATTTGATCCATCAATCTTCTCATCTGTACCATCGTTTTTATCAACCACAACAAAATCAATGCATACATTGAATACAGGAAGACGACAATCCCAATTGATTGATTCAAATGAAAAAGATACATTCATTGATACAAAGGACAATACTGTTGGAAGTGTTCTTTCTCACACGAACAATAGAACAAGTTCAATGGATAATTTACTTTCCAAAGATGATAATTCATCCGATAGTAATATTAATGATAATAATAATAAGAATAATAATAATACTAGTAGTTTTAAGCATACTATTCTAAAGCCAATGATGATTCGAGATGTGGAACATGTTACAGTTATCCTATTTTCCCGTCGTAGTTGTTATCGAGCTGGTAAGTTGCCTTTTTTTACGCTTTTTTATAGATGTTTTATTTTGTGTGTGCTGAAATATTTTCAGGCAGAGTTTTGGAGGTTTGTGTTTTTTTACACATTTGAAATCATCAATCAATGTAATTTGTAAAAAAAACAACCACCTCAGAGAATGAAACACCACCGCAATTAGTAACTTGTTCAATACATGAGGCAAACTGAACTAATTTACTCATGTACAAAGTTCTACGTTGTAACTAACTGATTGACATGATGAAGGAATTTTTTTTTATTTTTACAATCTATACGATATATTTTACTGTTCATCAAACGACAACACTTCATCCCAATTTGAATTGTGTCATTCGAATACAAGAGCATCTTATTGTGCTCAAGTTTCAATGAGAACAACAGCACAATTGAATACAATCACACTTTGTTAATGAGTATTCCGTTCATATAATTAAATTTAATTTATCAATATGAAGTATCACTAAGTGAAGAATCATTGTGTTATATTTTATGCTAAGCAGAGATGCAATCGAGTAGATATTGGTTAAACGATAAAATGATTAGTGTGATTACGTGGATCAAATAACTAATGTACAACTATACTTCATCAATGAAACAGCTGTATGCAGTGATTGAAGAATTTGTTTTTACAAATGAGTTACTGTCTCCATAAAAGATAATCGTTTGTGTGAACACTACTATACATATATAACCTTAAGAAAGTTACAATAAAGTGATATATTAAATACAAACCAGTATTTAAAACATATTAATCACAAGGTGTTTTCAATTAGCTCGCAAATGTAACAATTTAGTAAAATCCCCCAGAAATTAGTATTTTGGGAGAATCCACGCTACATTAAAATCTCCACAAACCGGTAATCCTATACTCACTTATAAGAAGGTTCTTGATAAATTTTACAAACTTTTTTTAAGTAGGCGAGACTTATGCTTTTAACGAAATCAGCAGTCTAGATGTAACATACTAATAGATAGTTTGTAGAAGAATTACGCTCCCAGGTGATTTGGAGGTAGTTGGCAGTAAACCATTCCCCTTGATTTCATACTAATTGGAAGTCATCAGCAATATATATATATACCTGTAATCTTAAGAAAATTGATTTTGTTTGGTGGATTTCAGTTAGCTTTACAATATGAAACGTTATTTTTGAGGTGTTTGACTGCAACTGACTTTCTATAGAACTGAGATATTTCTTAATAATTATAAAGATGTAATGCCGATCATTCCATATTATGTGCTTAGCGCAATATAGAATCGTCAGCACAGAATATTTTTGAATAAGTTTCCGTTACAAAACCAACCAGAAAGAGTAACAACTAATAACCGCATACATAAATACAATCAAAAGATTAAGTAAACATACTATTTGGAATTCAAATTTATTATCTTCTTTTAATATGATGCAAATCTATACAACTTTCCAATTAGAAACATGTTTAAGAATACACATTTATGACAAGGTCAACATTTACCACTTGTTCGTCACATGATCTAATATTTACTAAATACGATATTGTAGAATTTTTATACCTAGTGTATTGGCATCTTGTTCGACCAGAAGAAGATATACAAGGAGAAAAATGTGAATAGACTGGATGGTTATCATCATATACGTTAACACTTGCCTGAAGTTTGCAATTTTTCAAATTCCCTTCCCTTGCTGTGGCAACCTGAACTTATGTACATACGTACGAAGTTCCATGTTGCAACTGACTGACTGATTGACTTGTGTTTTGTAGTTTGATTGTATATGAACAACGTATTTTAGCCATAAATATGTAGATATTTAATCTAAACTTATTTACACATTTGAAATCATTAATCAATCATCATTGTTAGACCACCATTAGAAACCTGGAAGCACTGGACGGCCGTTTCGTCCTAGTATGGGACTCCTCAGCAGTGCGCATCCACGACTCCTGCTCCTCGCAGGATTCGAACCCGGGACCTTTGGCATTGTAGGCGAACGCCTTACCATCGGACCACTGGGCCGGCATCCAACGGTGTTAATGTCTAACTCTGATTGATCTAGGGATTTTGCGCGACCTCACCCATTTGTCTTTGGTAGTTACTGCCTACACCCGACAGGGTTGAACTCCACTGGTCACGTCTTCTCAACTAGAACTCCGAGAATTTCCTCACGAAGCTAGTCACTAGTGAGCACTGTGCTTCCAGGTTTCTAATGGTGGTCTAACAATGATGATTGATTAATGATTTCAAATGTGTAAAAACGCAAACCTCCAAAACTGTGCCCTAAACTTATTTATTGTGTAACAACTGACTTGCGCATCTCTCTTTAAATATGTATCGCCTAATAATGTGTTCACAAGCGGAAAAAATTAAGGAATGAAAAGTAGGTTCATTCAAGTGTCTTTCAATACATTATGTATGATCCAGTACTTATTGAAGAGAATTTCTAAAACAGTATGCATTTAAATTATGTCATCTGTTCTGCTTAGTTTGATGTAGCTACTCAGAATTGAAAGTGAATATCAAACGTTCTACGTTCGCTGTATTCACACTATACGTACATTCGATTCCTTAGGAATATTTCACTGAAAAGGAAAAATTAAAACACCATGTTGTTTTCGATTAGATTGTCATCAAGTTTTACTCTAATACACATAAATATTCAAGTTGAAATATTAAACCAATCACGCAATTTATGAAATAGATTACACAACTACACGAAACAAATAGAAGCACAAATTGATATTAAGAAGATACGTACACCAGTGGTAGTAAGAATAATAAAACAGTATAAAAAAGCTCCAGTCAACAGTTCATTATTGGAAGTAGTAGTTCAAAGTTGGATAAATTGACCCAACGATAATCACAAAGAAGTATTAGGATTATGTAATAAGAAGTGTGTAAATAGTTAGACAGTGAGAAACGTAAACGAGAAGAGTCAGAAGATATGCAAATACAGGATGTGAGAAAAAGTAGTGATAAAATCATCTATCTAGTTATATCAGACGAAGAAAGGGACGGGGCTGTCACGAATCCCCTCTGAACACATAAACTGGGGTTATGGATTCGGATTCTCATAGTTTCTGCAATATGTAGGAGACAGGTTCACACTCCATTGGTCACTCAAAATGATTTGGTTTTTATCTGATATATGATCACTACTATCCATCAGGCGTACCAAGATAGAGCTGCATACTATCTTAGTCTAGTCCTTTCCAAACCATCCTCGGAAGTGTTCACTTGTTCATTAGTTAAGTTGCTTGGTAGTACGTCGAAAAACTGAACCGTGACATAGTTTTATTTATTTGTCTATCTCAAACCTATAAAACCAATACACTCAAATCATCTACATACCTACATCCATTGATTTCTAGTGACCGGAATCTCACATTGAATTTGATAAAACAAGACGTAAAGCTAACCTGTTAGAGATTGAAATTGTACACAAAATATCGTAATACTAAACACAAATGTCACACTCAATCATTATCTGTCCTCACAATCAGCTCAAAGTATTGAATCAATACTTGGTGTGCTTTGGCTGATAAGCATTTAATGACTGAAATGATGGTAAGATGGCTTATTATTACCATCACTATTATCATTATGATTATTATTATGATTTTATCATTAGTAGTAGTAGTAGTAGTAGTAGTAGTAGTAGTAGTAGTAGTTCGTTTAGTTTGATACTAATTTATTCGTCTTCAATTACCATAAATATTATCTATGTTGATGTGTTACTTAACGAAAGATTGCTTACTTACTTACTTACTTACGCCTGTTACCTTCAATGGAGCATAGGCCGCCGACCAGTTTTCTCCATCAAACTCTGTTCTGGGCTCCCCTTTCCAGTTCTGTCCAATGTTTGTTCATTCTTCTCATATCTTTCTCTATTTCTCGGCGTAATGTGTTCCTTGGCCTTCCTCTTCTCCTTTTTGCCCTGAGGATTCCATGTGAGGGCTTGTTTTGTGACGCAGTTCGATGCTTTTAGTAGTGTGTGTCCTATCAACTAACTCCACCGCTTCTTCCTGATTCCCCCTTCCACTGGAATGTGGTTTGCTTTCGAAATATTGCTTATGAGTACAAAATTCAAATAATCAGTCCTAGTTTGACAGTTTTCTATAATTCACTATTATTGTTTTCATTTACCACATTGCTTTTTATGCATTGAATAAAAGTATTCTATCTAACCATTGTCTTTTTTTTCTAAACCTTAATTATCTGACAAATAAAAAATTGTGTTTATTTCTTTATTTCTTTTCCTAATACAATTTTCTTTTAAAAACTGATTAATCAATTGAACGTTGTTTTAATTCAACTACTTTCTATTTGAAATTGCCTGTTACTTCGCTAATTAAAAATGTAGAGTTAATTTTGTATTATTTATCTTAATTTGGATAAAAATCAATGTCACTGCATGTCATACACTATGATAATGTCATATTGCTTCGATTTTATGTATAGTGAACATTTTTCTCTACAATCGTTTGTAGTATTTTATATTGATGATGAGTTGCACAATTTATCAGTGCAAATTTTGCAAAATTTCACTTTAGTACTTTTCGCCATTAAACGAGTTAATTCACTGTGCAGGATGAACTTGAGCAGAATATTCAATTTCCTTTCATACATCATCTGTTAGTCAAATCAGCCAAACTCTACTCCTATTTATTACTTTCTGTATCTCCTTCTCTCTCTCTCTCTCTCTCTCTCTAGGTACTCGTTATAGACGTCGTGGAATCGATGCAGATGGGCATGTGGCTAATTATGTTGAAACAGAACAAGTTGGTTTTTTTTTCAAAGTTTAATTTGTAGTATTTATTCTTCTTATTGTAAATTTGTTATCAGTTGTCATTTTGCTATAATCATTCGATGATTTTGAATGCAACCAGTGTGATGAGATTGTCATCGTGAAATTAATTCATTCTACTTCCCATCAATAGGCTAAGGTTACAAAGAATATACATAATTCAGAGTGTATTCTTAAAGTACTCTAGTTACTGACATCCGAAAACAATGAAATGTGTCGGACATGAATAAGATAAATCATAATAAAGGTTGTAGTCGCGGTGAGAGCTTATTTACGTATGAAAAAATTTCGCCCTGTTAAGTAAGCAAGATGAAATCATCATTAATATTAGTATTTAATATAAATGGCTGATTATGTAAGCAAACCAAATAATTCAGATAAAACTAACTTGCTGAATCCTACGCAGCAGATATTTAACGAGAATATGGTGTAAGAGTACGCTTGAAGAAAGTTAGAGGCGGGTAATTGAAAACATGGCACAAACCCGTGAATTCATTGACAATTGTATTGAGTCATGTTGATAGTTGTAGACTACAAGGTTGGAGTCTACTGCCTTCTTCATGAATAATTTTTTCGAACCCTAATCTTTTCCATCATCGCTGATACTGTCACAAACCCTGTCATTATCGTATTTGAATTTGTGCTAATTTGGTATGACAACTTGAACTGATGTACGTACATTTAGTTTGATCAGAATCCCTGAATGACACTAACCTACGTAAAACGAATTAAAACAGATCTTTGCTGTTTGTTGATTATTTTAAGACCTTGGGACTATTCACGTTTATTCTGTTATCCGCTAAATACGGGTAGGAAGGTTTTGATTGTGACAAAATTGGTCTCGTGTGCTATTACGGGTATGAGGGGGGATGTCACTTCCCAGCTGCCCACATTGTGGAAGCGTGTTTTTTGAAGAACCTGAAGAAGAAGGTAGATTAGTGTTGGTCTTAGAGACTTTGGAGCGTGACCGCAGAGCCCAAGGATCAACTGCTTGAGGCCGGTCACGCACGGCCTTTTTATGAGAAGTTTTAAGATTATTAGCTCCGCTCTTGTTTTAAACCCTTTACCGCTGGAGACGGGAATCCATGAGGTAAGGTGAGGTGTGACATTTTTAGGGTCAAGCTTTTCTAACCCTTCCTTCCTTGTGAGAAGGCAGCATCGCTGCTGTCACACCCCTCTGCAGTCAGCAGTACGACTTCGCCCTCATACTTTGACTAGCTGTTTTCAGTCTCATCGTTCTTCAATCGACCTGCCTGGCATGGTAGAACCTACAGGAACATATGTTCCAGACAATATAGCTCGGTCGGGTCATGACGATAGACAAGCCAGACCACCACGTAAAGCTATGATCGGGATTCGTTAAATAGCAGACAGACAGACAGATACAACGCAGAGCTTCGTACATAAGTACATCAATTCAGGTTGCCATACCACGTCAGCACAGAGACGTAACTGTCAGTTCAAATCCAAGAGTGATAGCGATAGTAGGATTATTAGCAGTGATGGAGAAGACTAAGGAGCGAAGATTCGTTAAATAGCTGAACACTTTGTTTCTTTTACAAAACTAAGTTTCATATAACCCCAAAGAAACTTATTTCACCAATGTTCCTGCATAATTACCTCTGGAAATAAATGTCAACACACATATGCACATGAATAGAACTTCAAAAAGGTTATCATTTCTAATTTTTATCAATAGAATATGTAATAAAAGAAAATCTTTTGAATTGAATAAATTCCCATTCATTCGATAAATCTTATCCTTCTTGCTTCTTCATTAGCATTTACTAAGTTGATAATTATATGACGATTGTCTTTAAATAAAACTTTTAAGAGTAAGTATTAATCTCTAAATGATGATATGTATATATTCCGTAAGTCGTGTTGATCATCATCATCATCTATAAGTCTAATTTGCATTCTCTATCTTTCTCTCTCTATGAAATCCCATTGTGATCATAAATGAACCAAGAAAAAATGATGTTTTTTTTCTTTGTTCACATAAAAAAAACTGTACAGTTTGTCAGTTTTCGTTCAATCACTCATTTTATTTATGCCTGATCTCATCCTAATCTTCTTGTGAAATTCAGTTGGCATATAAAACAAATTTCTCACTAACTTGAAACAATACTTAACTGGTATATTAATATATAAGAAGGGGGCGATACCAAATTAAACAATTGTTTTATGCCCCCCTCCCCACCCCCCGCACCTTTCAATACTCTCAATACTTATTATTCCAACACTGGTTTCTATGTGTACAGTTTCATTTAATCCAAAAATCGGATTTCTTTTTTTTTTCATTTTTTTCGCTCTTCATTTATTCCTTCCTTTTTTTCAATGTTTTGATTAAGCTCTATTAATCCCAGTTGTCCAGGAATAGTTTTTTCCTCTTTGCAGAGTTTTTTTTTTCGTTGTTAGTTTGCATAAATATATGTATGCATAGATAGATTTAACCGTAACTTATTGACTGGAATACTTTTTCATTCATTGAATTTTGTCTACTCTAAAAGCCAAACTTATTTTTAATTTTATGTATATCCTGAAATATTGTTTTCCATTCAAACAATGACATTATTCAAAATGTCACAGGACCTAGAACTATTCTGTACATTCAGTTAGTTAGTCAGTCAGTCAGTCAACAACAACATAGAACTTCGTACGTACGTACATCAGTTCAAGTTACTATAGCACATCACGACACGGATGCAATTTTCAATTCAAACTGTATAGCAGTAGAGGTAGTATAAGTATAAGCAGTAATCGTAGAGATCAGGATTTGAATATATTATTCAAGAATTATTGTAGTGAGGGAGAACGTAGGTGGGGCAACCGAATTGTATTTAACGAAAATTACAGAGTTACTCAGTAAAATTGGAAAACCATATCGTAAATCGTTAATTTGCAAAATATCAGTCCATTGTCACTATTCATGCGTTTCATACATATTCCATTGTGTTCCCACTCTTCCTTTCTCGATCTTCCCCCATCTTCTGCTACCAGACATTACGTTGACACTCACGTCATATACTACTTATGAGTAGCTCGCACCACAGTATAATCTACTGAGAAGATTAAGATTTTAGAGGACACAAAGTGTGGTTGTGTACCTGCGCCATTGATCTGCGTTACCATAGTTTAGATTAGTTCGACAATAGAAAATATCTACGATCAAAGCAACAAACCTGAAAACAACAATCAATAATCATTTCACATTAAAGAGTATTTATTTGTCAACTGTTTCACTACAATCTGAAACTTTTTTCATAGTTGTATATGTTAGTGTTATTTGATGTGTGTTTGTTCTTACCGGAAGTGTTTTTTTTTTTTAAGTCTAACCGATTGTCTTCTAGTGTTGTTTTTTTTATAACTGTAACTTCTCATTTATCAAAAAAATTTTTTTAGACAATTACATTGTCTGATAAACAACATGTCTGATAACAACATGGTTTATGGAATCCTATCAATTTATTCTGTTTCATGGTTTTTCTTTTTAAATAACAGTTCCGAATAACCTAGAATTAAAAATGTCAATATGATCATCAATAAAATATTGAACATACTTCAATCAGGAATGTTCGAATCCGAGTCAAAAGATCATGATAAAAAGAATAAGACATGTATAATTAATTATATAATGAGTTCCTCATCTCACTACACTTATGTAATTCCCTTTTGTCTTTATTATGATAATCAGTACTAATATCATTGTTTATTCTATTCTGAATTAATATTTTTCAACATCTGACTAGACCTTTTCATTCAATTTGTGCCGTATTATTCGGCTTCTCTCTGTACTACTATATGGATGCGAAACATGACCGGTAAAAGTTGAGGATATTCTTAGGTTATTAATATTCAATTATAGATGTCTTTCAAGCATTGCTCGTATATCGTGGGACAACCGAGTAAGCAATGCTGTTAATTGGAAATGAGTACTAGGAAAGGATGACAGATCAATTGATGAAGTAGTGAAAATTCATCAGTTGAGGTGGTTGGGACATGTGTTGTGTATGCCTAACCACCGACTGCTTCGACGAGCTGTGTTTTGTGGAGTAGGTTGGAAGAAACCTAAGGGTGGCCAAACCAAAACATGGCAGAAATCCATGAAGTCACTGACAAGTGAACTGAGTCATGTTGGCAGATGTAGGCTATTTGGTTTGGGTCCGCCAGACGAAAGTCTCCGGTGGTTAGAGACCTTTAACGACATGGCTGAAAATCGTTTGCAATGGCGTAGTTGTATCCACTCTTTGTGTTCTCTGAAATCTTAAGCTTCTGAATTCCTTATCATCTCTATCTTTCTCTTTCCAAATTTAATTCACTGAATTATACTTCTTGAATAATATCTTCGATTCCTAATCTTCTCCATTACTGCTAATTCTTCTACTATCGCTACTACTATTGGTGGATTTGAACTGACATTTGCGTCTCTGTGCTAATGTGGTATGGAAACCTGAACTTATGTACTTACGTATGAAGTTCTACGTTGTAACTGACTGCTTAAACCATGAAATAGAATGAATTTATTTCAGTCTGTAAACCTTATCATCAATATTATTTCTGTGTTTAAGCCATTGTAATCTTTAATTATTCTACTAATGGAATGATTGATTCCTATTTTTATTTCTTATATATATATAAATCTTGTGGTTTGACAATTTCCATTCACGTTATTCAATTATGTATTGTCAACATTTCACCTGATATACTTTATTTTTCAATAATTGTTATTTCCTTTTTTCATTTTCGGGAAATTTATTTTAGATTTTGCATACAAACATTGGTGAATTTCCACATACAGTTGTATTTCTTCAATGTCGTGGTTCGGTGCCACTTTATTGGAGTCAAACAAGTTTAGTTTATAATCCACCGATACTTTTGGAGAAGTGTAAGTTGTTTCTTTTCGATTTTGTGTGTGTGTGTGTGTGTGATAGATTGTTTTTGTCGGCTTTCACAATCAATTATAAATTGATATACTGTTTAAAAGGTTTAGATATCTAATGTATTATGTTTGTATAAGGATTGCTGTGTTTTTTTTTCATGTGACACTGATTAGTGGCAGTGTTTTGAAGTTATTAGTCTGCGGTAAATAATCTCAATTTTCCACATCATCTTATAGTAATAATAAGTAGTATAACTATTTAAACTAAATTTATTGAGTAATTCAAAGTGTTATTTATTATCTTTATCCGATGAATATTACTTAATGAAAATTTTGAAAAATATAAGTTTTTCTTTTAATCATTAGATAATGTGATATAAACTGTAAATAAACTCGTTTCAGATTTTTCACTTCAATTTACATTGTTTTTATTTAAATCAGTAGAATTTCTTTTCGATTGTGTCTAAATAGAAGCAAAGGAAAAATAAAATAATGAACACTCAGAAGTATAACTCTAGATGAATTGAAAAAAAAAATTAGATTTCACTTCAAAGTCTTTAAACTAGCTAATTTCTAACTTTTTCAATATGATTTTAGTCTTCATTATGAACTGACATTTTATTAAATGAGTGAATAATTCAGGTGGGATATTTTGCATTTGATTTTTTTTCATTTTATTCTGGTACTTCTCAGTTTTACATAAGTATAACTCTGAAAAACATCATATACAGAATGGTTCAGTTTCTGTCGAAAACTATGTCTCAGCTATTAGATAGAATTAAATAGTCCACAATTTTTTGATTTCAGTTGATACATAATATTACATTTGCACACCTTGTCATTCATACGTAAAATCAATCGACAGCAACGCAGAACATCATACGTGCGTACATCAGTTCAAGTTATTATGCCACATTAGCATAGATATGTAGTTGTCAATTCAAATCCCATAGGAGTAGAGATAGTGAAATTATTAGCAGTTATGGAGAAGAGTAGGGTTCGAAGATATGATTCGAGAAGTATAATTCAATGAGATAAATTTGAATGAATTTGAGCCATGTCGTTCAAGGTCTCTAACCATTGGTGACTTACGTCTCGCGGACCCCAACTAGATAGCCTATATCTACCAACATGGCTCAGTCCACTTGTCAGTGACTTCGTAGATTTGTGCCATATTTTGGTTTGGCCGCCCCTAGCTTTCTTCCAACCTATTCCTACATCGCGAAACATAGCTTGTCGAGGCAGTCGGTGGTTAGGCATACACAACACATGTCCCAACCAACTCAACTGATGAAGTCTCAATAATTCATCTATTGATCTGCCATCCTTACCGAGTACTCGTTTCCTAACGATAGCATTGCTTACTTGGTTGTCCCATGATATACGAGCAATGCTTTGGAGACAATTATGATTTAAAACAAGCAACCTACGTAAAAGATTGTTTAGGACTAAAATAAATCTATACCACTGGGTGACAGACAAGTAGGGTAAAGATCCTTATTCTAAACCACGGTGATGCTGTTTCGGTTGAACATTGATCAATAGTCTCATACTAAAGACCAAATATCTATCTATTACTTCTATGTCCAAACTGGTTGAGTTGGATCAATTCGACTGTATCCACAACCCCACATCTAATAAGTTCAGGGTATACAATACCATTAAGAGCATTTACTTAAGCTAAATATCTATAGATAATTATATTGCAATATAATTATCTCTACAAAATTTTATTCAGTTTGATTATATATATATATATATATATATATATATATATATATATATATAGGGAGAGAGAGAGTGTGTGTGTGTGTGCAGTGTTCATGACGTATTTCCTCTTATCTGCTGTTGCTACTGTTGTTGTTGTTTCTTCTACTCTGATTTCATTTTGATTGACTTAAAAAATCAATTAAACCGAATTTTTTTTCCAAAAAAAACAATCATTATTATTTTTCCTCTTCCGTCAACCAACCACTGACAACACACCGAAAAAATAAATAAATTAACTCGAATATTGAATGACTCCCATAAAAAATTTATTAGTTGTTTCTTTTTTTTTCTCTCATTTATTTTTGTCTGTTAGTCTTTTTTTTATTTTTATTTTATTTTTAGTTCTAATCTATTTTTGCGTTGTTTAATAGTTTTTAAATTGTGATTTAATTTTTTTGTCATTGTTTGATTATTGAACCAAAATGAAAAAAATAAGAGTCAGAGAGAGATGATAATTCTTCATTTGATAAATTAGATCAATTTTAAAGAGTTAATTGATTATTATTTGGTTTGATTTGATTTCATTTCATTTCATTGCATAGCATAACAATTAATTATATCCAATCAGTGATTGTTTAGTTGAATAGATTTTTGAAAATGTAGGGTTCTGAGATGGTGGAGAAAATTTGTAGCTCAGGTGGATGATTTCGGTGGTGTTTCGTTCTCTGAGCTGGTTGTTTTGGTTGTGGAGCTCTCATTGTTCTTCTGCTGAACAACATCATCGTCAAAACAAAGTTGCAAACAACGACAGGTCAAAGGTCAACAGCAACCAATCAAGATCGAGGGCGGCAGAACAAGCTACAGGTCAAACGTGGAGAAATTCGAATGCTTCACTTCTATCTGAAGTTTGTGCTGATGATGTTGTTCAGAAGAACAATGAAAGCTCCACAACCAAAACAACCTGCTCAGAGAACGAAACACCACCACAATGTAGGGTTCGTCACTAGGTACGCTTGAAGCTATTACGAGTTCACCTTGGTCGATAAACACGAACGAGACAATGAACTAGCGTCCAGATAGGCTACCTTGAATCCTAAGCTGAAGTAAAAAGAGGCTTTGTAAGCGTAGAAAGTATATTCTACAAACACCCAGCCAGCACACAATACCATGAAACATACAACTCTCGTTTATTTATACATCATAGACAGTTATGAAAATAGCACACTAAAATATACAGCAGCCAATCACAGCCATGGATTTTCCTGTTGGGAAATGAAATCTCAAGGTCAAGTGATCAGCGTATGCTCGCAAACGTGAAATACAAAATAAGGCATTTATCAAGCGAGTTCCAGGGGTTCTAACATCCCCAACAGAAAATCCAGACTATAAAGTTATCATGATGAATAGTTTGAATGTTTATATGTTTGTATGTATAGTTAAAGATCATTTATTTATTTTCTGTTCAAAATATTTGAAATTATTTTTAACAGGAAACTTCATAATATTTTATTTAAAAAAAATAATTGCACCAGTTTTGTTGTATAGTCTGATTTTTAAGGAATCACTGAATTCTATGGGATTTAAATGGATATTACCCAGTTTCATAGTTTAAGAAGTTAGCACTTAGTTTTCATTCTGTAGGGTTGACATGCCTACAGCTGATCGGTTATTGATTGTTGAGTGCACTGTCATGTTTGTTTAGACTCTTAATGTTGAATGAGTTCCATTGATCAAGTTACAATGTAAAGCTACTGTGCGAGTGATTGTTACATACAGTGTTTTCGAATGTGACGTAGTTACAAACGAAATTTTTTTCGAATAAAAATTAGGTTGGTAGTAATCCCACATACTAACTTACGCCTGTTACCTCTAATGGAGCATAGGCCGCTGACCGGTGGATTAAATTTTTCTGGTTAGCATTTTTTTATAGAGTTGAATTTCTACAGGATGGGGTCGCTAGCTATGTTTTGCGATGTAGGAATTGGTTGAAAGACAGCTAGGGATGGCCAAACCAAAACATGGCACAAATCCACGAAGTCACTGACAAGTGGACTGAGTCATGTCGGTAGGTGTCGAATACCTGGTTGTGGTCCGCGAGATGATAGTAATCGATGGTTAGAGACCTTGAATGACATGGCTGACAACCGTTCGAAATAGCACAGGTGCAGTTATTCTTTGTTTTCTCTCAAATCCTAACCTTTAGAGTTCCTCATCACCTTTATCTTTCCTTTTTAGTTAATTTCACTAGATTCTACTTCTTGAATAATATAATCTAATCCTAATCTTTCCGATTACTGCTAATACTTTCACAACCTCTACTACTACGGGGTTTAAATTGACAGCTACATATATGTACTAATGTGGTATGGCATCTTGAACTGATGTACTTACGAATTTCTACATTGCCATTGATTGATACGGGCTTGGGGCTGATAGTAAACCCTAGAAAGGCTTCAAGCGGAGTTTTGGTAGTATTCACTCATGAATAAATGAGAATGGATATATACATAATACTTGTTTTCCTAAACTTTTGCGCAAGCAGATTGCATAAGCATATATAAATACATGTATATAGTGTTGCATCATTCGAGAAACTGGGTCTCATCTTGTATAGAAAAGTGCTTGTGAATTTGTGACACATCGGTTTTGGCAGTGTTCAATAAATGTGCACTATCAAGCAATTTTGGCACTGTCTTTTCACTGATTATGTTAGTGCTACATATACAGCAGCATAATTTTCACTTAGTATTTTATCTAAAGCTCTAATGTTCATAGAACACTGATGTAGATGGCTTCAGACGATTAAGATGAAATCTCTAATGAAAATTGTGCTGTACTATTATGTATTACTGATTTACTGAATGTGTGCCAGATATTGTCTTCATGTTTTAAAGCTTTTCTACTTTTAATTCATTTTCAGTGAACAGAATAGTGTATTTCTTCATTCTTACTGATGGCTATTTTGCCTTTCTGTGAAATACCTACCTCTAACTCTCTCTCTCCCTCTCGCCCTCGCTCCCCATCTCCGATTATATAATTTAACTAACTCTAGCTATAATAATCATCAAGTACTTTGATATCTAATTTTATTTTAATTTCTTGTTTTTTGAGAGAGAGAGAGAGAGAAAAGGAAGTACTTCTCATGAACTGTTTATCACCTGATCATTGAAATCGTATGTCAATGTTGATAAAAAAAACTATTATTTCTATCTAATCTCTCTTTCTCTTGTTCCTCTCTCTCTCTATATATATATATATATATATATCGCATGTTGAAGTCTGATTGAAATCGTGTT